GGGTGACGAGGTTGGGGTGAGTGGGTGTCGCAGAAAAAAAAAATTGAAGTTGGAGGGGGTTAGGGGTTAGATGTGAGGGTAGGTGGAGTTTTTGAAAAATATTTTCGTAATTTTTTCTAGGGAAGTTATTTTCCACCAATTTCAAAAAAATGTGATGTCTAAGAAAATATTTTTCAAACTATTTTGTGCAATCAAACAGTGGAAAATGGAAATATATTTTCGGGAAATATTTTCCTCATACCAAAAACACCGTAGATCTCCTACAATTTGATCAGCAAGAGGAAAAAATTACACATTATTGGTTTTGCAAAATTTATTTGTTTTTTGTTCTACATATATTGTATGAAATAAGTAGTTTTGTATTCCACTCTTACCGTCACTTTCTAATGAATTAAGAACGAAATTGCTCTACTAAGCAAGTCATACTGGTATTCAAGATTTGACCAATACAAAACTTTCGCATGGCAAGTTTCTATTGGAAAAAAGTTTAAGATGAGAGATACTCCCATTCATATTTAAATCCAAGAGGAAAAAACAGCATAAGTCAAAATATAAAGAAATAAATTCACCAAGAAGTTAAGGGGTGTCATTATAATATATATATACATATTTTAAGAAAAAATTATCAAATTAAACAATACTCCCTCCGCTTCAATTTATGTGAACCTATTTTCTTTTTAGTCCGTGCCAAAAAGAATGACTTCTTTCCCTATTTGGAAACAATTTACCTTTATGTAATGATTTATAGCCACACAAAATATATGTGCTTCATTTTACACCACAAATTCAAAAGTCTTCTCTCTTTTCTTAACTCCGTGTCCAGTCAAATGGGTTCACGTAAATTGAAATGGTGGGAGTATAATTTGCTGATGAAAGGGTGTCAGTTGACACCCCTTGGATGTATGTGGCTTCGCCGGTACTGCTCACGAGCGACCCTGATCACCCCCTCCCCCCTTTTTTTCCTTCTTTGTACACCTTCACCTTTTCATTTGTGGGGTGAAACATTAGAAAAGCTTTGACTTGTGCTTTCTTGGGTGGGAATAGCGCCAATTATCAGTGATGTTTTGCATAAGTAAAGCTTTTGTCCATATTGAGCCTTAATGGAACTAATAAAACCTAGCAGCAATGTCAATGAGCTTCCTTAACAGTGATTTATTGCATTTGTTAAGCATTACATTTTCTATTTCATCAGCATCCTTTACTATCCTTGCACCGATGGTGGGGAGCTCAACACTAATCTGCCTCATTTCCCCCATCCACTTAGTCAATATTCTACCTTCCATTATGCATGCATATGGCAAGCTTTTGCAAATTTCTCTCTCTCTTTTTTTTTTTTTCATTTTAAATCGGGATATTATCACTTTTAATCCGCACCAGAAACTATTTACATTCGGTAGATGAAAAAGTGTATAATATTTTTATAATTTTTGTATATAATATACAGAGTGTATATATACAAAAAAATATACATTTTTCTGCTATTATTTTGAGAGCAGCTATATAGTGTGATTTTCCCTTTTAAATAACAGTACCGTCCAACCAAACTTGCATGTATATCAGCTATGTTATTGGGTATCTCCTACTTCCTATCAACACATATATCAAATAATCCTGTCTATCAAAACCTACATACGTGAAAAGGATCATTTATATTTTCTATGATGACGGAATTTAAATTTTGGTCTTTAATGTCATGATCTTTTACCCATCGCCAAATCATACCTCTTGAGCTCTAGTTTCTAATTCCTAGTGTCAATAAGCAGAACTTATTGATGTTTCACAATCAAGATGACCCTTACTATAATATAAAGTAAAATATAAGAGAGTTCCACGTAACAAAGGTTAGGTCATGCTGTTTTAGTCACCAAAAAGTAAAAAAGGGTGAGCTCATACAATATAAAAAAGTAGATGATGATTTCATTTTTTTCTTTAATTAATGTCCACTATTTGAGACTTCCAAAACATACGCTCTCTCCATTTGGTTAAAAGAACTGCAAAAATGAAGTCAATACGATTGGTCCTTATTCTGCTTGTAATATTTATTCTTAGAAAAACATAAGTCTAGGCTCCTATTCCTATATTATTGGATTCATTATCATCAATTCATCATCATTACAAAACATCACACTTAGCCATAAAAAATGTAATCGTGGGTACGTAGCGCGAAGTGCTTTGACCAATTCATTGTGCACTTAGTACTCTACAATGTTAAAATCGAATTGAACATTACTTGTAGGGTTATGATGGGTACTTANAAATTTCACTCTGTGGCATATCCAAAACTCACCCGAGCTCTTGGGGCTCCCAACCAAACATGCACACCAATCTAAAAATATCATACGGACTTGCTCGTGCATTCAAATCACTAAGATAACATCAACAACTAGGAATTTAG